TATATATATATATATATATATATATATAGTCTTATAAAATCAGTGCTGAAGAGCGTGCTCAGTTCAAATTAATCATGCTGTGCTTTTAAAAGTTGCATGACTCCATAAAGAAACCTGATGTGGAAGACAGTATAAAACAAGTTTCCTCCATTGCACTGCTGTGTGATTCAGTGAGACATACAAGTGTGGCTTTAACAGGAGTTGTGGTCAGAACCAGCTTGTTACCTGCTGGAAATGGGAACCAAGTGTTTTCTGTTAAAGGTTTTATAGGAAGGAAGACTAACTTGTTTATTTCTCATGTAAACAGAACAAAGTAAAGAACACACAACTTCAATTAGAGATGACCTGTTTGACTGTGAGCAGTGTCAGATAAGTTAATCCACATTAAATCAGAACCTAGTAAATGGAAGTATCTACATAAAAAGCTTGTCTTATTCTGAAGACAATCTTTTAATTAAGTTAGCTCCTCTGCTGCTTCCAGTAGCCTTAAGTTTTATTACAAATTGCAGGAACCCGAGTCTAACGCATAATTACTGCTTCTTAAGGTGTTTTGTTCACTAGACTGCAACTGTTTTAGACGAGTTGGAGACATAAAATTGTGAGAAATACACAAATGTTTACTTGGAAACACACTAATGACTTGTTTGCACAAACACTGCACAAAATGTTGGCCCAAAATTACCAGAAGTTCTTATACAAGCCAATGAATAATTACAGCGTTCGTACTCTGGGATCAAACTACATGAAGAACGGTTCAAGATGGATTCCAGATCCCTGCAACGACTCTGTGAATATTCTGAGGAAAAAAAAAATGTCTTGAAAATCTTTGAAACATTTGAAATTTCTGAAAAATGAGTATGAGCCTCTGTGACTCACAAATGTTTGAAGCATTTTGGAAAGTCCCTCACAAATGCTGTTGTCAAGTCGTCACCAATAATTGCAGCCCAGTGAGATACTTCCTTTAACTCTCCTGCTGCCATTGGCTCTAAATGACCCAGGGGCAGCAGCATGGTTAAGCAGGTGTGCATGCGACCCTTTACATTCATTCAACCTTTATTTAAACAGATAAATCACACTGAGCCTCAAAGACTCATTTACAAGTGTGACCTGTTTGGACAGACAATAAAAGTGGTAAACTGGACACATGTAGGAGTCGGAGGCGAAAAAATTCCTATCACTGTTTTTTGTTGAAGCATTGAGCTGAGCATGTTGAGCTGAAGCACATCAGGAAGTGCTGAAAAATAAATTTAAACTGTTTTATTTACATCTGGAGTTTAACAGTAAAGGTAATTTTATTTTTATCTGATGGCTCTCTATAGCTAAAGGTTCTTCCCAGAGATGCTGCACAACTTCTCTGCTTTGTCTTAAAGGAACCTTGCAGACTGTCAGGGGTCTGCAAGCAGCGGCTCTTCCTACAATAAAAAAAAAAAAAAAATCACAAAAGAATCCATAGTTTATTGTTTTAGTTTTTAGAAACTGGGCAACAATTATGTACTTTTTGCCCCTTTTTTTTAACATGAATCTCGTCTTTTACTTTGTCTAAGAGTGTAAAAATATCAATAAATGTTAAAAATCATTACATACTTTTAGTTTTATAAAATCACCCCTACTGTTCAGAAAAGCGCCCTCCAACAAAACTTAAAGTGGTCCGTGGGCCACCAGTTGAGAATCCCAGTTGTAGCAGGTATTGTGGCTCCGGACACGTTTTAATTTAGTGAACAAAGGGTAGAAATGACTCTTGATCATAAAGGTTGCAGACCTCTGGCTAGGTGTTTGAAATGAAGACCATAAAACTTCCTTCCTTGTTCCTTGAAGCTGTGTCACCTCCCACCTGAAAGGCTTCTCTGGTTGGGATCATGCATGGAGAGTTTCAGGATTATAAAATAAAGTTCAGTCAGGTCATCTGGAAGGTTTCGTTTTTGTTGAGACGTTTCATCTTTTATCCAAAGGACTTCATCAGTCTGAGGAGCCACAACAAAGTTTCACAAGCAGGAAACCTACATAGTGGACCAACCAGTTTGCCAGTGATAAGATGGATTCTGGGGCCTGCCCTCTCCCCCGCCGACTCCTCTGAGGCAGCCATACCCAAAGTGGTTCAAAACATCAAAGTCCATGCTCAATAATCCAGGTAGAAAATCCAACAAAGTTCAGTCAGATCATCTTATCACCAGCAAACTGGTTGGTTCACTACGCGAGTGTGCTGCTTGTGAGACTCAGCTTGTTGTGGCTCCTCGGACTGATGAAGTCCTTTTTTGGTGATGAAACGTCTCAACAAAAAAACAAAAAAAAAAAACTGTTCAGATGATCTGACTGAACTTTGTTGGATTTTATACCTGGATTATTGAGCATGGACTTTGATGTTTCAGGATTTTACTGCAAGTCACTGCAGGCGCAATCACACAAGTGACCCAACCATCCACCTCCGTCACTTGTGAGCTGTTTAGCAATGAGATCAACATGTGGAGTGTTTCAGCCACGTGTGGAGTGTTTCAGTCACGTGTGGAGTGTTTCAGTCACGTGTGGTGTGCTTCAGTCACGTGTGGTGTATTTCAGTCACGTGTGGAGTGTTTCAGTCACGTGTGGAGCGTTTCAGT